ACAGGAACACATAGCATTTACATAATACTGCTCAGCCCGTGAGGGCTGAGTCAGGCTAAGGTTCTAGGATGCTCTCACTTAAAAGCTGCCTAAGAAGGCCAGCAGCAGTCTTCCAGCCTCTTTATTTGCCTTCTCCTAAAGATTTCAAGACAAGCCTTCGAGGTCATGAAAGTCATAAATCATGTGTTTACCTTCATGTGACTGGTATTCCAGAGAGCCCGACTTTTTAAGGCTTGCCTGCTGGATGGACGTATTATGTTACTGAAATGTAGAAATGGCCGCTCTGCATGCCAGTAGTGAGCAGAACTCCAAGACGTAACCTTATCTTCTCAATTGATTTGAGGAAAGAATGTTCATAAAACATATACTGCTTTTGGTTAGGGGCTGATTTCTAAATAAACAGACTCAGTTATGGAAATTCAAGAAACAGGCAAAACAAAACATGCATTCATAAATGTATATTTTAAAATCAAGCCTCTCACAACACTTGCCTTTTGTAAGCTTTACAAAGATTGTAAAATCAGTTACACTAAGTTTATGGTTTATAGTCGTTGTAACTTAACTTCTCTTTCAGTCACCGATGGAAAATCTTAACTCCTCTGGAATATTTCTGCTTTATTTTGCAGACTGGTATGCTTCTCTCCCTAACAAGGCCTTTCCTTACCCTGACTGGAAGGCACCCATTTGTCCTGCAAGTCAGACGAAAGAAGAAAAGTGGAAGGCTTTGCTACAGCAAATCCTAATGCCCTGGTCTCTAACACACTAGCAAGTGCTGGACATGAGAGGACTGCGTCGCCTCCAACAACATGACACTGTGCTAATCCACAAAGCACAATGCTAACCTGCGTGGAGCTATATCCTCCTCATCTCCAGTGAATTGAGGTCAACTGGATTTTTATCTGAGCTACAAACTTGAAAGCAGAAAACAGCAAGAAACAAAACATCACAATTTGGTTGGATCCTGCTTTGCACACAAGATTGTGTGAGCCATTGCTGCACAGGATATTTCCAGAAGATTAGAAGGCCAAAAGTAAGCAAGGAAATATGGCTATGCCCAGTGTTCACATTAAAGAAGAATAGTGTCTTATTCATAGGTACATTTCAGCTACGTAAATGTTAACATTGTGCTGTGTTTTCCCTTTAAATTCCTACATTATTATGATAAAGCTTGATCAGAGACCACTTACATACTACTTAGCTTTCGCTCACTTTTTAAACAGTCAGCTTAATGGCCTACTTAATGAGCCAGTCAAACAAAATAGCACAAAATAAACTGTCCCTAAGTTCAATTAGCTTATACTGTATCTGGGGAAAGATCAAATATGTGAAGTAACAAATACTGCAGATAATATTTCAGTACACAACTATGCCAGAGCCAGGTGTGATAGTGTACACCAATAATCGCAGCACTCAGGAGGCTGAGGCAGGAGAATTAAAGTGAGTTTGAAACAAGTCTGGGCTACATGTGAGTTCAAGGCCAGCTTGTACTGCATAGTGAGAGCCTGTCTCAAAATAAAATAAAAGCTATGACAAAAAAGCAAATAATTGACATTTTAATAACAGGAAATATAAGCATTGTAAGACTTCAGAAGATGCCTTGGTAAGCTGACAATATACTTCTTTACGGAATGGAAAAAATACTGAATTTTATTCACTGTAATCACAAAGTAATATGCTTTCATCTCTATGAGGCTTGATTCAATCACCAATAAAACAATAAAAATGATGCTTTGATTATAGAATTATTATAAGAAATTAATACATTGTATGTGAAAGGAATTTTTGTAATCTGCAAAGAAGCTATAAAATGACCACTGAGAAACTAATAAAAGTAATTACATTATTAATTTGGAAAGGTAGAAACTTTCATAAATACCTATACACTGATCTTGTTACAAAATGATATTAAAACTATATAAATATTAGCTGAAGTATGCATATCTGGATATTACCAATTGGATGTAAACACTCATAACACTGCTGCTGTGCTGGTACATAAAAACAAGTCTTGGGCTAGTGAAATAGTTCAGCGGACTAAGTGCCTGTTTAGGCAAGCACAGGGACTGGGGTTCAATCCCTGGCACCACATGCCACGCTGGCCCCACCCCTGGGTGTGCTGAGCCAGCGACCCAGTCTGGGTGTGGTGCCGCACACCTGTAATTCCAATGCTGGGGAGGCTGAAAACAAGAGGATCACTACAAATCCAAGCTGCATAGTGAGACTCTTCTAAATATATTTAAAAAAAAAAACAAGTCTCAGTCCTGGTATCAATTTGAGAATTTCTAAAGTCAAAACATTTGCCAAGTTTGGAAATAACCATCAGCTAAAACAGTATTCTTTTCTTTTGCATAAAATTTTAAAATAGAGCAAATTGCATAATCACCCAAAACAATCCATTGATTCGATAATTACTTTGATCAATGGCTTTTGAAAGTAGTAAGTTAAAAAAAAATTAGTTCATTAAAGTCAAGCCCTTGCCACATCTAACTTTGCTTTCTAGGGTGCAGTTCCTTCAACTGATGGCTTTACAAAGAGACGAAATCTTCAAGCCAACTCCGGACCCATGCCAAGGACTTTCCACAATCACAGGACAGACCTCTGAGCGTGAACCCGACCTCAAGTTGCCAACATGTCAGGGAGGGCAGAACTCGGTCATCTTATTCTCACTCTGCCTCGTCCTTGCTATGTTACCAACCCACAAGTAGGCAAGGACAATTACCTCCTAAACTTCTCTGCAGGAAAGATAACTCTAAAACTATTAGTCAACTGGAAGCCCAAGCAGGTAGGCACACATGCTAAGACAAATACAACGTTATAACTGTTTCTGGAGAAAAACACATTAACATGACTCAAAAGCTTCAAAGCCAAGCATAGACATAAAAGTCTTGCTGAAACATCATGAAATCTTCATGTACTGTAGTAGAACCATTTGAGTGAGAGAACACATGATGTGAACAGAGGTGACTTAGGGAGTCATCTATTCAGAACCACTTTTTGCTTATTTAATAAAAATTTCCAAAGTTTGTCCCTTTGATATAAACAGAAATGGGGAAAAATTTCATCTTTTTTGTGTGGCAGTAAGGATTGAACCCAAGATTTTACAATGAAATACACTGCCAGCCATTAATTAATTAATTAATTAATTAATTTAAAGACAGGGTCTTGCTGAATTTCCCAGGTGAGACTCACACTTGTAATCCTCCTATGTCAGCCTCTCCAAGTTCTGGGTCAGTGGAGTATGTGCCACCCCACTGGGCTCTGTTTGCTGTGTCCCTGCATCAGTGGGCTGCTGGATCATCGCTTCCCCATGGTGACTTAATGAATAAATGCATAGATCCTTAAGACAGACAGAATGAGTGTCTACACGTAAGAAGACTATTAGATCGTGTTTAACCACTCTTACAGATTCCAGTACTCTGTGGGGAAAAGGAAGTTGAATTGCACTGGCTTCCCCAAGCAATATTGACTAGGCCCTGGAGATGGAAGTATGGAAGAAAAATTACAGTGATAGGAAGTAATTTCTCTGATTTCCACTGGTGATTTAAAATCTCTGTGAATGATACACCTCCTACTAATTTATCTGTTCCATTCGAAGCCTCTACATAATTCATTTTCATCTATTTAATCTTCTTCACAAGGTAACCAGGCCTTGCAATCATTTTTGAACTCATAGTGGTATGTTAGTTTACAATAAACCATTTTATTAAAACCAAATGCTTTAAACCAGTTCTTGCTGAAATATTTTAAAACATTCCACCCAATGTATATAAAAGAAGTATGTTTTTCTACTTCTGAAAAGAATTGCAGAAGGCCAGTAGAAATAAAATGCTTTGGCTGCAGTTCTTGAAACAATGCTACGTTTCTTAGTTTGGTCAGACGGATTAAATTTGGAAGCTACCTAAAAATTTTCTCACATCGTGATCTCAGTCTGGAGGGCCAATTAATCAAGCTCTTGTTTGAAGCAACTCTAACATTAATCAGAGATGTAAGGAGAGAAAATTGAGAGAACTTCTCTTTCACAATATTCAACAATATTATAATTGAAAATAGTAACAACAGGGGGAGAAAAGTGGATGCCAAGGGGCCAACACCTTGCAGCCTTTGGTGGAGCCTATATTTGGCAAATTGAATAGATTTACTTAACCAGAGATAAAACTAAGCAGTAGAATACCACGCAAACAAAACAAAAGTAGCAAAACAAAGTCAGGAATTACCAGTGAAAAACAGGGTCACACTCAAGAGCATGAATGTGCCAGAGGCAATTTGTGGGGAGACTAGAGTCACCGCTGCATTGTTGGGTGCCTGAAATCAAAACGTTAAAGTTTCTTTAGGTAAAGCTATAGTACAGCATTCAAAGAGCCAGCCAAAATAGCTGAGGGAAACCAGGAAGGCCACATGTGGAACTAATTACTCATGTGGAGGCCATGACAAAGAACATTTCTCCAGACTTTTCATGGGGGCTTCACTTTCAGGAAGTTGCTATAATTACTGCTCAAGTCTAGAGCAGCCTGCAAGCCGCTGACAGATCCAACAGACGAGGAGGAGGAGGGAAAGAGGGGGAAAAATAACAAAACTTATCTGCCCTTTCTGACGAGTGAAACACCAGAAAATAAAGTACCGCAGGAAAGCTCCAAAAAGGTTTCCAAATGAGCTCTGCCTCGCAGTGTTCAACTTTCTGTTTACTATTTTATCTCTTCTCTATCTTCAAATGACTTCTCAAGCCTGGATCAGACGGCAAATTTGTACTGCTACTCTTAACTCACTTTCAGTTGGCCACAGCAGAACTGTACATCTTGACTTTTTTTTTTTTTTTTTACAGCTTTTCCATACTGGGGCCCACTTCCTGCCCAGTTGAGGAAAAAAATCTGGCCTGAAGATGAAATGACTGCTTAACATTACACGAGAACATCTGGTACCATTTTATGCACAGACCCATGTCTGAGAGCAGGCGATTCTAGCGGTCTCTCCAGCGGCACAGCACATACCCAAACCTCCCCAGGGTGACATCATCCCATATATGGACTCTCCAGCCCAGCCCTCCCCCTTTTCCTGGTCCTAAATTCATTGCCAGTTCCCTAGTCTGCAGCAAATGTGCCACGTCAAGACTGGAAATCACAGCCCTTGAGTGCGTCTCAGTCAGTGCGGCCGAATTCAGGGGGGAAAGCTGAATCCACCCCTGGTGCAGGAAGGGAGGCTCTCCCCAGGACTGGGAGAGGATTTTAGGTCCACAGCTGGAAGCTCCTGGAGATCCTGCTCCGTCGCCCCAGTGTTCAGACTACCTGTTCAGGACAATGCCGTTGTACAGTAGTCTGCACATTGGTTAGACTGGGCAAGGGACAGCAACGCCATGAACTGCTGGGGACAAAATTGGCTGTTTCCAAGGAGAAGACCTTGGTTTGCTCCTTTGTTGAATCTCACACCCAGTTTTTCTCTTCACAGGTTTTGCACGCTAGGGATCAAGAAGCACTCAGGGACACTGCTGAGAAAGAACCACTGGAGGGAAAAGCTGCGGGTAAGGCCTTCGTGACTGCTCACCTGGTCTGTGACCATGGGAACCGAGGTAGGGGTCCCATGTGGGAGAGGCTGCCATGTGTTTAATTTTTAAAAAGCAATGATGTATATAGTTTGTAATGACTTACTGTATGTTTTATTATTTCTGAAGATTGGTAATTAAGTGTCCTCTTAAGTTGAAAGGTTTTTCCACTTCAAAATGAAATGTAGAAAAACTCACTCAGAACACTTAATAACTCAACAAGGCTAGTTTTCAATTGTTGAAATTAAAAATTCAGAGACTAACACTATGAATAAAGTTTAAATGCATCATTGGGGGCATTTCAGGATTGAATGAATTTTACCCTAAAGAATACTTGCTATCTTGAAAATTCCATATGGGTAATTTTTTTCTAAATATTTACTTATATAATATAAATACCAGGAATAATAGTCCCTAACAATAAATGATGAGCCTGCCAATGTTTTGCCTACCAGACAATGCAGATGGGACTTTTGCCCAGATATGAGCACCAACCTACAACTTACTGAGTCAGCAACTGAATAAATCAGAGACTAGAAACCTCTGTCTGTAGATAGCACAATACGTATCTCTGCATTTTTTTTGTTTTTTTTTAATCCAGGAATGGTTGATGAATTGCTGGTCAGCTGAAACCTCTTGTCTCTTATGTTTTACAAGGCTTCTATGTCTCCCAGCACTTAAAATGATAAAGTACTTTGTCTAGAAAACTACTGATAAAAAAGGAATTTGTAAATGAATGCAGAAGTTTTCTTTGGTCAGTTTCCCGAAGTCTTGGAGGTGAGGGAGAGTAGGAGAGGAGGAGGAACGTGGGAGGGAAGAAAACTCTCAAACTGAATGAAATCCTAAAGAGAAAAATAGGGAAGTCTGAGCTGCCATGGGATCAGTGTGGTCTGTGCTACACTTTAGAGGTGGGTCCCTTAAAGAAAGTTCTGGAAAAATGTTACTGTCTCCCCTCTAACTCCCTCAATCACCATTTAATTCTACCTTAAAATATTTCTGTGAAATGAAAACATACGTTCTTCTATAGGCTCTTGTGGAAAGTAAATGTAATCTCTTTGTCCTGAGCAAATAATTTTCTACTTTGTATTTTTCAACAGTTAAAAACTGACACAGGTTCTGTTTTACAAAATATCTCATTACAGAAGTTTCCCCAGGTTTCTTCTCTGTCAAAATATTTAAAATTTGTCCTTCTGATCATCCTGGAACTGGTTAGTGTTAGGAACACCTAGGTTTTTTCAAGTACTCGTAATTTTTAGTTAAAGTATAAGTAGCAAGGAGAAATTTATTTTTCACTTAGATGACGTGCTCGTCATCTTTCATCTTCTCTTGTGACTTAAAGATTTTCAAATTAATTATTTTAATGAGACATTTAAGACTTTTAAAATCTATAGCATTTCTTTCACATAGAAAAACCTAAAAAAAATAAACTATTAGGTAATTTATGGGAATTTATGTTTCCAAGAAATGGAATTTACAGTCACTAACTAGGAAAGAGACCTACAAGTACTTTGGCAACATAAGATTTCTCAAATTTTGTGGGTTTTACTTTTTTACTCTGGAAAATAATTGAATTTCATAATTTGCTTTCATTTAATGTACTTTTAAGTTAAATTGCTTTCTTCATATTAAACAGCCTTTCATTTTTTCAGAGAAACTAACCCATCAGAGTCCCTTACCTATTTTATTTTAGGGGTAACTTTCAATCAGGCGATAGAATGGAAACAAGTATGTCTTTGGCTTATGTCCAAGAGTAAAAATATAAAATTTACTTTGTAAAGGGTTAGCCAAGGAGTCCCTGCCTGTGCTCTGTAGAGTCCTAAAGACACATTTATGAGACGAACTCTTCACAAATGACAAGAAATAGTACTCCATTTAAAATTTATGTAAGCCAAATTAAAGATCAATCAAAAGCAAAGGATCATTTTATAAACTGCTGAATGAAGACAGAAAGGTAGCCGACATGCTGGTTCATATAACAACAGTTATATATACTCAGAATCATAAAATAACTATCTGTTGCCACGGTGATTAGAATAATGCTTAATATTATTTTGATATTACTTTATAAGGAAATATACAAATATTTTAGGGACCATGGAATCTATTCCAGAGGAAACTATTCAACAGTGAGCATCTTCAACTAAAACTGTCCTGGATAGAATGGTAAGTGTGTTAAAATTAAACATGATGGTCATAAAGAGAAAACTATTGGTAGGATCTGTCTAAATTGTAGTTCATAGAAATTTCATAGTTTTCATTTTAATGTGTGGATGATCGATTAATTAAGTGCTGTGTTGAAAGAATTTTTTCTGCTAAGAAAAAGGAAATTTTTTTCTTTGGTGTTGAGGCTCAGCTTCAACACCACCCTTCAGTAATTGAAAGAGAATGAATATAAAACAGTGCACTGAAATTTTAAAATGTTTCTGGCGAGCCATAGATCTCAAAATAAAAGACAGTTTGTTTACAATGGGGCAAAGCTTCACACTGATCACTTTCCTGCAATTAGTCCACAGGCTTGATATCCTTCCTGCCTGGCATTCATGCTTTCCACTCAGATATGTTTATGTTCTTAAAAGACCAAAATATACTATCTACTGCCACCCCTTGCCTACAGACCACCCAAACATAATACTCTGTGGAAAAGATTTAAAATATCAAAATCCTAATGAAATAATATTTTTTTTCCTTTCCTTGTTTCTTTTGGGTTTTAGGGGGCGGGAGTGAAGTCTTAAACTACTAGAGGAAAAGAAAGTACAACTGCGTTAAGTAAAAAAAAAAAAAAAAAAAAAAAAAAAAAAAAAAAAAAATGCATCCACAAATGTTCATGTAACATAAAAAGAAACCACAGCTTTCAGTTACTCTGGAGAGTAATTAAGGAATCTGCTCTTTTAAAAACAAAACTAAACAAAACTTATCTTATTCTAAGAAGACTAGCCTACCCATCAGGAGACTGACCAAATGACATCTAAGAGACCTTCACTCACAAATCTCAGCTTAAAGGAACTAGAAGGTCAGGCTTTAACCTGAGACAGGAAATGCCCGAGTTAAGATTGAAACTTTCTTCAAATCCCTTTATCCTTTGGTGTCCTGCAAATTATATAGATACAAATGTTGAGGATTTTTCCAAAAGTCCCTTATTAAGAATTTTTTACATCAGTTTAGTAAAGAGGGCTAATGAAGTAAATTAAAGAAAATAATTGAAACTTCAATATGAATTTTCCATGGATTGTGATACTCAATTTCTTGGAGTTGCTTTGCTTTAATTTTACTGTAGAAAATTTAAAAGAAAATTCTTTTCTTGCATTTTTCTTTAAAGATAAAAAAGAAATAATGTATAACAAAGATATTTTAAGAATTACATGAAATGATAATAATATAATGGCTTTTTCATATTCTGATTAGGAATTTAAGAGATAAAGTAATACTCATCCTATCATTTGGGAGATAGAAAAAAAGTCAGAAATTATTTTTAGTTTTTCATTTTTTAATCAGCTTCGGGCAGGTTCATTGTAACTATGAAATATGCATATGCCACATACATATCATAACTGTGTTTTAAAAAAGTCAAGAACATATGTTGTGCAAAAACCTACGAGTGGATCATTTTTCTTATTTTTCAGTGAGATATTTTTCACCCTAAAAAACTACTATGATTGATTTTTCAGGCTCAAAAAATTTGGATATTTTGGTATAATAAAACTGCTTCAAATTAAAGAAAAACATATGAACTCACAAATATTTCTTTTTTTTCAGGTTGCATGCATCATTCCTTTAATTGAGCACAGTAAACTGGATCAATTTATGAGAGAGTGAGGGAAAGTTATACAAAATATAGTAACTTTTAATTTCAGTAACTTTTAATTTCTACCAGTATATTCTTTGTAAGTGAATCATTCATTCTTTTCTGTTGCACTGAATGTAGCAATAATACCTAAATAGTAGTTTCAGGTATTTATTCTTTGCATAATCAAATCTTGCAATTATTTATATAGCAGTCAAGTTTACTAAGTTTTTTTTTTTTAATTCTGTGAAGGAAAAAAGTTTTCTACTCTTAGGCAATGAACAGAAACAAAATTATTTACTTTTTGAAATTAAATCCATAAAAATTTCACTGATCAATTCTTTGTCAAAACTTTATTATATCTAGTCGCTGCATGAAAGTTCAGATTTATAAAGCTGTCATTTTTCTGTCCCTAAAAGTTATTTTGCTCTCTACTAGGTTGCTTTACTATTTTCTTAAAACTTTATTAATATAACTAAAGATTTAAAAAGATACCTATTTGTTACTTTATAGAGATCTTTGAAAAATTCCAAATATAAACTCCTTGGACAAGAAGTCTCACTCACTGGAATTTTGTCTCTAAGGCTATCTTGTTTTTAAAAGGGAGATACAAGTTTTTAAATACCTTTACATGTGTGAATTGATAATTTATATTTAAAAATAGCCAAAATCCTTCTTGACACCCCAGAATCGCATTTTATATCTATATGTGGTACTTTATTCTTTAAGAAAATTTTCCAAAGTCTGCATTTAAATTTTTTGATATGAAATAAGTTTTTCTTTTCAGTGTTTAAGGTTCTAGTTTGTAACGATATATACACAAATAATGCCTAAACACATTGTGAGCATCAGTGCTTGGGACAACATTCCAATTCACATCCCTTGCTTCCTTCCATGACCCTGTAAGTTAAGTACGTGGTGGAAAACTTAAGCTCACAACTGCCTTTTATTTGATTTTCACACCCATACTTAGGAACTGTACATTTAAAAGGAAAATCAAAGGTTTAAATGAATTTCTGTTGAAATATAAAATCCCCCATCAAAGCATCAGAAACCTAAGTCCATTGGTTCAGTTTCCAAATACATGAGGCTCATTAATTATTTTGAAAATGGCTGCTGTTACCATGTAAATGACAATTTTCTTTTTCGTGAGCAAGATTATAGTTCTTATCTACTGCAAGAAACATGTATAAACATAGTCGTTATCTTTAGCTTCAGTATTAAAATATGCAGAGTTTTTGCAAAGAGGAAAAACATCTGGTTCAATTACTCTGAACTCTGACTGCATGTGGGCCAGTCATACTAGGAACTGAATTGGAGAAAAAAGCCTTGTGTTTAAACTTTTTCCTTCCTTAAAATTTTAATGTGTTTTCTGTCATGCCAAATATCCATGTTAGCACACTGGAAAACAAATGTATAAGTGTACTTTCTGAATAAAGTCAAACATCTAACTTGTTTTTAGTTCCATAATGTTTTAATGTTTAATTCTGCTGTGTGTTTTTCTCCCTTTCCCCTCACCCGCCAAAATCACCTAATCTGGAAAGCAGGCTGATTGTATCTGTCCCTGAGCAAAGGAAGCCTGAAGGAATCGAGGGCCTGGCTGACAGAGTTGTCATGTGTCTGCCTGTCTACACTTGCTGTGCAGAACATCCGCTCACCTGTACAGCAGGCACAGACAGGCAGTCACATGACAACCCAGCCTGAATGACAACCAGCCATTGAAAGAAAGCAGTCCTCACACCGTAGCCTCCAAGAGCTACAACCAAAGGGCGGGGCTCGGGGGTCTGGGCTTTTCATCTGTTGGCTTAATACTTAACTCGTATGTATTATTCTTATTATTTTATTTTGATTCAAATATTAAAACCCACCAAAAGTAAAGTAAGTGGTACCTATGAAATATAATAAAACCCATTTCTGAAAATGTTCCTGTGCTTTCTATAATTCTCTTTTCCTAATTGTTGTTAGCAAATCACTACCCTGGACATTTATTGTATACACCTTTGAAGCATCCCATGATCAATATTTTTAAAATCAATATAACAAAACAGAATTTCAGTTTGATGTTTGGGAAGGAATAAATTATTCTAATAGCTCTAATCCATAAACTAAGAATTGCTTTCTATATTGTTGTTTTTTCTTCAGTGGGAAGTGGATGAGGTATAGAGCAAGAAAAAAAAAAAGAAAAAGAAAATGGTGATAATCTAAAGGATCAAGTCTTTCAGGCTAAGAAGATGACAATCTTGTCTATATAAGGCATAGTGGGATAAAAGTATTTTCAAATTTATTAAAAGGATTGCTTTTTTGATAAATGGAAAGTTGAAATTGAAACATTAACATTTTCAAGTGTCATCATCTGAATAGTGTTAGTATATTTTCATTGTTTAATTAAGAAGTGACTTCTGCTCTGGTTCTAGGAGAAGAATTTACAGGACCAGTAAATTCACTTGGAATATAGGCTTCCATTCGCCATATTCAGGCTCTTAAGATGTTCAAATATTTCAATACTTTCAAAAGCTTGAGGAAAGTGTTTATCGGAAGTGTACTGCATATTTTGCCATATCTTTTGAGGAAATTAGTAAAATTTCAGTTTATGCACCGTTAAGTGGAATGCAATGATGAGAACTGACTATTGTATATGAATATTTCAAACACTTAAATGTAAAAATGGAAGAGGATAAAATTAGAAATTTGTCACCTTTGATTTGGTTCACTACAATGTAAACTTTCACTTTTTAAAATTAATGTTTACTTTTCTTAGTAAGATTCTGGTCAAACTTAAAAATATAACACTGGGCTATCCCGAACTGTTCTTTAAAATTTAATAAATCATTATTACAAGCATATATTTTGAACTAAAGCACACTATTTTCCATTTAGATATTTCATTTTTAAATGAAATATTAGTTTTAATTTAAAGGTCCTATATGTTCCAAATTTTCTGATTTTATGTTGTTTCAATCAAACTTGACAGTGTAATTTCTTTAAGCAAAAAAAAAGCCCTGAGCAATGGGCTAAACTATGAAGTACAAATATGAGTAAAACAAAATGTCTTACATTTATACAATCTGAGCTTAAAACAACACATCATCTACTAAAATCCACTTCTGGTGCTGTAAGACTTATTTACAATGAAGGTTTGCATCTTAAATAAAGTACTATAACGAGCAAATAAAGTCTGACACAATACTTCATGAAATGCAAAATTTAAGCAGGAAGGCAATACAGAAAGGAAATATTTATATAACTCCACCAATTTTAAGTGCTTTATACAACCTCTTACACACACTACCTAAAGAGTTTACATGCAGACTCCTTCCACTGTGCCGTGGAAGGCAGTCCCGGCAACGTGTGTGACAGCTCTCAGGATTAACATGAGGCAACTAGTACAGCATGACCCAAAGAAACCTAAGGCGGGTGGCAGCAGAGTTAACCCAAGATTCCAGGCTAACCTTTCAAGGATTTTTTCTGTAAAACCTCAGGCTAAGCATCTTTTTAAAAAACACTTCTTTAACTTAGATCCCAAAAAATCTTGAGAGAATATTTTACATATATTTATGTTCGTGAAATGAGCTGCAACAGTTTTATTTTTCTGAGAAAGGGTAACATAAAATGTGATATGGTGTTTCCAGGATACATTCTGAGTAGGAGAAACAATTCATATGCAAACTGCATTTGGATGTAAATATATTTTTAACAAATTTGAAAAAGCATTTGCTCTTATGACTTATCAAGTAAAACTTTTTTCAAAATTGTAAATCTTTGGCTAATACTAGATTATAGAAATCAGTTTGTATGAAATAACACTGCATTTAAAAGTATAAAAATAGTACGTGAAAAAATATAACTACGAAGGTGAACAATTTTAAGTACTATAAATGGGTTAAGGTTAAAAATTTATTTGGACCTTTTTTTGTAAAAATATCTAAGATTTGGCTGAGGTACATCTCAACAAGGAGTTGAACAGCATTTACTGGGTTGATGCCGACTTCCTTGGTCATAGGAAATATGAGATCCAATGGGTGGGGGGAAAAGGACAATTTTGAAAGTGTAAGTGAAAATGAAAAGAATCCTGAATATTCCAGTAACTTCTTGATCTTATAACTTTGACCATCCCGGGACATAGCTGTCACTTTGTCTCCTATTACTAAAGTTACACGTGTCATCTGTCACCACTCCACAATAAAAACAAAACTGAGTAAATATCCCTATAAGGGAATTATATAATCTCCGCATCAAGCTATCCAAACAGTCCAACCCACAAAAATGAAGCCTGTAATTTTTTAGGAGTCCAAAGAATGTTCCTACTTTGACGAGGATTTTGGAGTTTCTTCAATGCTGTAAGGACACTTCATTTGATTTCCACTGGAAACATGACTATTGTATGACTTTACTATTCTAGGAGTGCTCCATATGACTTTAAGCATGGTGTCAGGCTACAGAAATAGAGTATTGGCTAAATGCTTTTATTATGTTTAAATTAGCAGTCCTTTTTCTTCAGCTATTTTAACTTAAAATTTGTATGTGCAGTATACTTTTCACTGATATTAAGAAAAAATAAGTCTCTTTTCTTCTTGAATCAGAACATCCTACTAATTTTATATATATTTTCAAGAAAGGGTATTACTTTTTTTCAAATTTTGATGTTAAAATACAAGTATAAAATTATCTAGACTTAAAATTATTTTGAAATGCAGTTTGTATTTCATTTCTATACCTGGAATTTTTTTAAATCCCCCCCCCCACATAATTGTGAAACTTATATTCACGTGTTAAAATAAGATCGAGAAATTTATTTTTGGCTTAAATGATCTTCAGTCCAAGAAGTCACACTTACACAGTCAGAGGAAAAAAAAAATCCAATAACCTGCAATGATGAAAATTAACAATTCTATGACAATCTACCTCTAAGGGTAACCTTACCCTATAATTTAATAATTTAATATAGGCATTTGCTATACCACATGATAAATTGTTATCCCTTATTTATTCATATATTTACTTAAGGATACTTTCATTAGTCAATATTTGATGGGTGCCTCCTCCCAGCCCTGGTGTCAACAAAACAATAGCTCCTGAAGCTCACACTTGTGATTTAGTTTTCCTGATAATTTTCACCTTCTGAAATATCTCTTAAACCACTCCTTTCTATTTCTATCAACTCATCACAGCCCAAGCTACCAGGGTTTCTCATATAGTGCATGGTAACATCTTTCTACTAACTCCCTAACTCACTTTTGCCTTCTTCCAATCCATTTTGCACAGGTCAACCAATGGAGAGTCCATAAAACATGCAAGTCTAAAAACTTCAAGAACTTCTCATCGCTCTTGGGACCAATTGCAGTCCTTCATCGTCAAAGTCTCTCTCTTACTTTGCTCCAGCCATGTTAGGCTTACTCCCATTAGTTAAATTCACCAGTCTGAACCCTGCCACAGTACATTAACATAAACATTTCTACCTGTACAATTTAAAGCAGTCCCCGTCTGTCACCCTAGTCCCCACTTGAGACATTCATTATGTCATAGGCATTACGGGCTTCTTCTTTCTTTGTAGCCTGCAATCAGCATCAGATAGGTTTTGGTATCTGTTTGTGCATTTTATTTATTGGGAAATATGCCTCCTAAAGGCAGGGCCCGTGAATTCCTTGCTGGCCTTTTCCCCCAGCAGTATCCCTTAGTGAGCAGGACACTTGCTGAAACATATAAGGATTCAGAAAATATTTGTTGAGAAATGTTCAAATAACTAAGAACTCAGCACTGGCACATAGCAGCTGCCCATATTATCTGTTTTCTTTAAATCACTAAAATAGAGAATGTAAAGTACTGGCTTAGACCAGTGCCTATCAAAGTACAAATGCTCAGTAAGTGGTAACCACAAAGAGCAGCAGCAGCATTGATAAGATCATTAGGCAGTCTGAAAACCAGAGCAGTAGTCTGAAAGCTGGTCTTCAGGGCTGTAGGCAGGTACAATAAAAACAGGAACTGGTATGTGCATAAGAGCTTCTTATTACCTGGTGGCCGTTTGGTTTGGCTGCATATTCTGACCATTCTGGATATATAAGGGTAAGCTTGCAAAGAACTTCAGGCAAATGCTGATTATATTTCATTAAATTAGAGCAAAAGGCACCTTGAATTCAAGACATTCCAATTTTATAGCATTGATAGGAGAGAGAGAAAGAGGAAAAGAGAAAGAAGCTGAAATACTTTTCTTGTGCCAGGCTGAAATAAAAAAGCTAAAAATATCAATGGCACACCTTGTGGAGTATCCACTGGTTAAAAATTGCTATGCAGACAGCCATATACTATTTCATTTGAGATTATCTAAATCACTATATTTCTTTTCCAAACCATTAATAAAGATAAGTGCTGCAATAGCCTTGTTAGTAGTTTGATAGAAATTTTTAAAAAGCTGAGCATCATGCATCTCAGCTCCAAGAGGATCTACAGGAGTGTCCGAGT